TCTATAGGTAGCGTTTATACCCCATCATATAACAATCTATAGGTAGCAATCATCTCCCTCATATAACAATCTATAGATAGCCTTCATCCCCCTTTATATAACAATCTATAGGTAGCGTTCATCCCCTTTATATAACAATCTATAGGTAGCGTTCATCCCCCTCATATATCAATCTATAGGTAGAGTTCATCCCCATCATATAACAAGCTATAGGGAGCGTTCATCCCCCTCATATAACAATCTATAGGTAGCGTTCATCCCCATCATATAACAATCTATAGGAAACGTTCATCTCCTTCATATAACAATCTACAGGTAGCGTTCATCCCCCTTTATATAACAATCTATAGGTAGCGTTCATCCCCCTCATATAACAATCTATAGGTAGCGTTCATCCCCCCTCATATAACAATCTATAGGTAGCGTTCATCCCCCTCATATAACAATCTATAGGTAGTGTTCATCCCCCCTCATATAACAATCTATAGGTAGCATTCATCCCCCTCATATAACAATCTATAGGTAGCATTCATCCCCCTCATATAACAATCTATAGGTAGCGTTTATCCCCCTCATATAACAATCTATAGGTAGCATTCATCCCCCTCATATAACAATCTATAGGTAGCGTTTATCCCCCTCATATAACAATCTATAGGTAGCGTTCATCCCCCCTCATATAACCAGCTATAGGTAGCGTTCAACCCCCATCATATAACAATCTATAGGTAGCGTTCATCCCCCTCATATAACAATCTATAGGTAGCGTTCATCCCCCTCATATAACCAGCTAGGTAGCGTTCATCCCCCCATCATATAACAATCTATAGGTAGCGTTCATCCCCCTCATATAACAATCTATAGGTAGCATTCATCCCCATCATATAACATTCTATAGGTAGCGTTCACCCCCCTCATATTACCATCTATAGGTAGCATTCATCCCCCTCATATAGCAATCTATAGGTAGCGTTCATCCCCCCTCATATAACAATCTATAGGTAGCGTTCATCCCCTTTATATAACAATCTATAGGTAGCGTTCATCCCCCCCATATAACAATCTATAGGTAGCGTTCATCCCCATCATATAACAATCTATAGGTTTCATTTATCCCCCTCATATAACAATCTATAGGTAGCGTTCATCCCCCTCATATAACACTCTATAGGTAGCGTTCATCTCCTTCATATAACAATCTATAGGTAGCATTCAACCCCCCTCATATAACAATCTATAGGTAGCATTCATCCCCCATCATATAACAATCTATAGGTAGCGTTCATCCCCATCATATAACATTCTATAGGTAGTGTTCATCCCCATCATATAACAATCTATAGGTAGCGTTCATCCCCCTCATATAACAATCTATAGGTAGCGTTCATCCCCCCCTCATATAACAATCTATAGGTATCCTTGATCCCCCCAATTAACAATCTATAGATTGGAAGTTAGCGAATGTTGTGCCCATTTACAAGAAAGGTAATAGGGAGGAGTCGGGCAACTATAGGCCAGTAAGCCTTACTTCAGTAGTGGGGAAAGTGATGGAAACCATGTTAAAGGATAGGATTGATGAACATCTAAATACACATGGATTTCAAGATCAGAGACAACATGGGTTTACTTCAGGGAGATCATGCCAAACTAATCTTATTGATTTTTTTGATTGGGTAACTAAAATTATAGATCAGGGTGGTGCAGTAGACATTGCTTACCTAGATTTCAGTAAGGCTTTTGACACTGTTGCACATAGAAGGCTTATCAATAAACTGCAATCTTTAAGTTTGGATTCAAATATTGTTGAATGGGTAAGGCAGTGGCTGAGTGGCAGGCAACAGAAGGTTGTAGTTAATGGAATATATTCGAAGCTTGGACTTGTCACCAGTGGGGTACCTCAGGGATCTGTACTTTGACCCATTCTCTTTAATATTTTTATTAGTGATATTGCAGAAGGTCTTGATGGTAAGGTATGTCTTTTTGCTGATGATACTAAGATATGTAACAGGGTTGATGTTCCAGGAGGGATAAGCCAAATGACAAATGATTTAGGTAAACTAGAAAAATGGTCAGAATTGTGGCAACTGACATTTAATGTGGATAAGTGCAAGATAATGCATCTTGGACGTAAAAACCCAAGGGCAGAGTACAGAATATTTGATAGAGTCCTAACCTCAACATTTGAGGAAAGGGATTTAGGGGTGATTATTTCTGATGACTTAAAGGTAGGCAGACAATGTAATAGAGCAGCAGGAAATGCTAGCAGAATGCTTGGTTGTATAGGGAGAGGTATTAGCAGTAGAAAGAGGGAAGTGCTCATGCCATTGTACAGAACACTGGTGAGACCTCACTTGGAGTATTGTACACAGTACTGGAGACCGTATCTTCAGAAGGATATTGATACCTTAGAGAGGGTTCAGAGAAGGGCTACTAAACTGGTTCATGGATTGCGGGATAAAACTTACCAGGAAAGGTTAAAGGATCTTAACATGTATAGCTTGGAGGAAAGACGAGACAGGGGGGATATGATAGAAACATTTAAATATATAAAGGGAATCAACACAGTAAAGGAGGAGACTATATTTAAAAGAAGAAAAACTACCACAACAAGAGGACATAGTCTTAAATTAGAGGGACAAAGGTTTAAAAATAATATCAGGAAGTATTACTTTACTGAGAGGGTAGTGGATGCATGGAATAGCCTTCCAGCTGAAGTGGTAGAAGTTAACACAGTAAAGGAGTTTAAGCATGCGTGGGATAGGCATAAGGCTATCCTAACTATAAGATAAGACTAGGGACTAATGAAAGTATTTAGAAAATTGGGCAGACTAGATGGGCCGAATGGTTCTTATCTGCCGTCACATTCTATGTTTCTATGTTTCTATGAATTCATCCCCCTCATATAACAGTCTATAGGTAGTGTTCATCCCTCATCCATCATATAACAATATTGAAGCAGATCTGCAATACTAAAACCGATATCTCCCCTGGTAATCTGTAGAACATCAAAGAAAGCGTAGTTCAGAAGTATAACCTCAATTCCCCCAGTAACCGGATGATACACAGTTTTGGGAGTCAGCTGTTTAATGGAAGCCACACATGGCCCCATGCAAGGGGTTTACTGTAACACATTCCAGGGACAGTGACAAACTACACAACATAATTACATTATCTCTCAGGTCCAGGACATGTACATTAATAAACACCTCAAAACACCCCCTTTATGAAACCGGGTTATAGTTTAGACCAACCACACACGAGGCACCAGCCCAAAAGAGTTCCATGAAATCAGGCTGTGCGGTCGGTCTCTCTCTGGAGTACACAAAACAATAAAATAACGAATTTAACAATTCGTACATAAGTTGATTGTGTGCCCCTAGTACGGGAGTTTGTTCTCCACGAATGCCGCTCTTCTCAGGTGAGTGGAACTGAACACAAATAGAGGTGGAAGTTCCAGCGGTGTTCGTACCGTCGAGTGTCCGATTATAGTTTCATGCACTCAACGAGCAAACACAGCTGAATGTGTTTGCGGCTAAAGATGTCTGCCGCCACATGTTCGGTCATACGAACGATGGCCACCCAGCCGACCGCCTGTGAAGAAGGTTAATGGGGTCAACTGACAGCACACGGCTCCCCTGTGTGGTCTAACTGTTGGGGAGTTTGTTCGGTATATGAACAATACAGCTATAACTTGTTCGGTGGACTCCAATTGTCGAACCAGATACGTCCCTGATTTAAAAGAACGGTACATAATCCAAATAGGTGGCTGGTTATGCCATACAGCTCCCCCATAACCACAAGTCAGCATACACAACCTGATCCCAATGGATCGGCTTGGGGATGTCCGGGGGAGTACTCACAGATCACTTCACTAGTTCAGTTTGTCTGGATAACCAGTCAGGGTTGCCATTCTGTTTTCCAGGGCGGTAGTGAATTGTAAAGTCAAAAGGCTGCAGCGCTAAACTCCAGTGAAGCAGTCTGGCATTGTCTCTTGCCACCCGGTTGAGCCACTCTAAAGGGTTGTATTCTGTGAGTAATAAAAAGGGTTCACCATACAGTAAGGTTGTAACTTCACGAGGGCCCACACCACGGCCAGGCATTCTTTTTCTTAAGTAAGCCACAGGGTGTTCTCTGCCATTGGCTCTGACGGCTCAGTACTGCCCCCAATCCACACATAGAAGCGTCTGTGTGGACAAGAAAGTGTTTAGTTGAATCAGGAGCAGCAAGTACAAGTGCGTTAATTAGAGACGTTTTCAGTTGTTGGAATGCCTGCTCACACTCTGGGGCCCAGACTACCTGTCTAGGGAGGTTCTTACAGGTTTGGACAGTGCACTGTAGTTGGGTACAAACGTTCGGTAATACACTGCTGTTCCCAAAAAAGCTAGGACCTGTGTTTTAGTACGGGGGATAGGCCACTTTTCCACAGCCTCCACTTTGGCTGGTTCAGGTTTTTGCTGACCGCTCCATACCCTGTGGCCGAGGCACTGTACCTCAGCCATCCCTATATGACACTTGCTAGGCATAAGGGTCAACACTGCTTCTCTAACACCGCCCCGTCTAACACTGCCTAACACCGCCCCTATGTGGGTCAGATGTTCTGACCAGGTGTTGCTGTAAATAGAAATATCGTCCAGGTATGTGCAAGCATGTGGCGAAAGTAACCTCGCCACTTGTACTTGGAGGGGCCTGCTTGCCAGCCTCCTGCCCTGTGACTATAGCCCCTTTAATATATTTTGTCTGAGACCCTAATTGTGCCTATTGGGAATCGGCACAATGCCCCTTTAAACTTTCGAAGTGGTCGAAGTGGAACTTTGAACCACCAAACAGCCGGACCACACACAAGTGGAGTGTGCAGCCTATTTACCTCCCAGGCTGGTAGTTATCCGCAGCCAAATTGACGAACGGCTGGGTGGTCGCCGTTTGTATATTCGAACACGTGGCGGCGGCCATCTTGTTTAGTCGAACATGTTCAGCAGTGTTTTGTCATCGAGTTCATGGAACTCAAATCGGACACGCGACGGCACGAACACCACTGAACTTTACCTTCTCCGGAACTTCGAACGGCACGTTAACATTGACTATGTGCACGAATGGTTCCTGTTCGACTATTTGAACTAAACTTAGACATTGAAAATAACCCGGCCGCACAGCCTAATTCCCTGGAACTGTTTTGGGCATGAAACCATGCGTGCGGTCGATCAAAAGAGACTTCCATGAATTACCTGAACCCCTGCTCTGATCTGGGTGATTTTTGGATATGTTGTTCACCCAGATCAGGGCTATCAGAGGATGTAAGATGGGGATATGTTATGTTTTGGGGTGTTTTCTGTACTTTGGGGAAAATGTGTGTTTTTCTGCCTGTGGATAATTAGGTTAATGTATTAGCTACTTTAATTATATCACAGGCTGAGAGGAGGTATTGTGAAATGTAAGAGTGGATGAGTGTCGTTCATTGTTACAGTGTTCTTATTGGTCTATACAGTTGGTAATCCGGTGTTCCACCAGGTCCAGGGTGTGTGCCTCTGGCCTGAGGAATTGTATATAAAGCAACCTGAACCATTAAACCTGCAGATCATCTTGCACCTTCATGAAGTCTTTGCTCATATTTGGGGGATTGGAGAACTACACTCTGGGGGATTGCTATAATCACTATACTCCCCTGAGTATAATCACTAAGCTCTTCTAAGAGGAGAGGTCTACCCACTGGGAGCTGAATCCTGGTCTTGGGTCCATGGTGGGTGGAGGACCCCGGCACAGCTGCATCGCTGGAAGTGGGGTCTGCAGTGCTTGTGGTGTCTGGTGGAGTGTTTGGAGTCCTCGGCAAACACTAGGAGCAATGATTGGCGGAGGTATTCGGTCGGAGTGCCAGGCGGTCCGTCACATTTGGTGGCAGCGGTGGGATGGGGAGTTCACTATGGGCTTAATGCCACATAGTTTCCAGAGTTGGTGGGTGACCTCTGCGGTAAATTGGGTACCCCAATCCGAAATATTCTCTCGGAAGTCCCATGCAAGAGAAAATCCGCATCAGGGCATATGTGACCGTCTCTCAGCGTGGACATTAGTCTGCCTCCGGGTATCTAGTTGCATAGTCCACTATGGTCAAGATGTTTTTCTTGCCAGAAGGACTAGGTCTAGCTAAGTGCCCAACAAGGTCTACGGCAACCATGATGAAGGGTTCTTCAATAATGGGAAGGGGGTGGAGTTTTGCTCTGTGGTGGTCTAGCCTCTTACCTACCCTCGAACATGTGTCACAGGTCTGACAATACTGGCAAATATCCCTCGAAATCCCTGGCCAGAAAAAGTTTTGCGTCAGTCTGTGTTTAGTCCGGCTGACTCCTAGGTGTCCGGATAGAGGAATATCATGTGCTATCCAGAGTAACGCCTGTCTATACTTCTGGGAGACTACTAACTGTTTCATGGGGATCGGTACGGACCCAGCCACTATCCTCTCAGAGTTCCTATAGAGTAATCCCTTGTCTCAGGAGTATCCCTCCCTCTCAAATTCTGCCTGACTGGAGGTGACCCAATCTTTATACACCTGTAACGTGGGGTCTAAGTCTACTTCTCTTTCAAACTCGGTTAGGGCATCCTAGGAATGTTTTCTATGGATGGGGGGTGGTTGCTTACTTGAGCCTCAGAGTGTGATTGATGGTGCGCAGTGCAAACCTGCTGCCGGGTGGTCACAGGGTAAGTTTCCTGGGGTAAAGGTTGGGGCACAAACGCAGAAGTTAGTTTGCCCAAGTCATTTACGAGGAACACGTCTGCAGGTAGCTCCTGCATCAGACCTAGTTCCACAACTTCCGACCCCACACCCCAATTCAAATGAACCTTGGCAGTGGGTAAGCAAAGTACGGCTCTCCCTGCCACCCGTACTGCCACGATCCTCTGGTACGGGCTGTGTCTGGAACCAAGTGGCGCTTTATTAGGGTTAAAGTGGAACCAGTGTCTCTGAGTCCTGGAACATTTTTCCCCTCCAGACATACCGTTTGCATGTGGTGCTGTTGGTTGTCAGACACATCCTTGATTGGGTCAAGATACCCAGTTGTTCCTCAGTGTAGTCAGGGACAGCATCACTGGTAACGGTCTCTGTTTGTTAGTAATGGGCCGCTGCTCTGTTTACAGGTGGTTAACTGGGACAAACCCATGTGTTGCGGTCCCGGTTCTGGGGGCATCCCCTCTGTACATGTCCCAACTGTTGGCATTGATGGCTGTGACGAGAGCAATCTCGCCACATTGCATTAGAGAAGCCTGGCTGCCCGCCTGCTGCCTTTGGACTATGGACCAGACTTTTTGTAAATGTGTTAACCCAGATAGCTATGCCATGGAGCCCATTCGTGTAGTTAAAGACTTCGGCTCCATGGCAATTGAACTGTGTGAATAGGATCTGAGCGCTGTTCGGTAGTTTTGTGCGCTCAGATCCCAGCTATCTGGGGATATGTGAAATGGCTGTGTGTGATGTGTAAAAGGTGACTTTATGTATTTTAAAGTGTTTTATGTCTTTTTGCAACCATGTGCTCAATGGAGTCTGCCTCTATCCCTGGATAATTTTATTATTTTCCCCATTGTCTCCAGGCTAGAGGGCTCTGTAAAACCTGTTTGAGCCAGATAAGCATGTGCCAGCCAGGGCCCAAAAGATACTTTTACTAACTTTTGAACCCCTGGTCGGATTCATGCCATTTTTTAATATGTTGTTCCCCTGAATGGATTGATTGTGAATATGTAATTTTATGTGAATGTGATCTATGGTTTTAGAGTTATGAAAGTTGGGTCGAAAGTATGTTTTAACTGTATGTGTAATTGAGTTTCCTCTCAGGATAAGGGGAGGGAATATGTGGGATGTAACTGATATGTGATTGGTTGTTTTATACCTCCCTGTGGGCGGTCCTGTATTTGAAAACACTGTAATAAAAACCAGGCTGGGTGTGCCAGCACCTCAGACCACTGCTTGACCCTCAACACGGAGCCTTGTCTCATTCTTGGGGGGATTCACTGTATGCTGTTAGAGACTGATTGCCAGGAGTGTAAGCTGATTGTCTGCTTTTCCTGTTCGTCTGCTAGCAGCTATTTGGGAGGTTCCAGTTCGGGAGTTGGAGTGCTATTTTGTATCCAGTTCGGGAGTTTGGTGTTCTGCAGTAGCTGTGCCTGTATCTCTGGAAAGGGGGCCGATCGCCTAAACGTTTTTTACCCCTTGTGTGCAAAACTGTCCGTTACAATGGCACCTAATGTTGGAATGAGGTTGAAACCTAGGATAGAAAACTAAGTCGCAAGAGAGGTGAGAATGGACAACAGCTCAATTATCCTGCCCTTCGGTGGGTCCCCTCTCAGATCTCATGAGGTTGAAACCTAGACGCTGTGGGCTTAAACACGTTACCATGACGCTGTGAGGCTGGTGCAGGTGGTGCTGGTGTAGATACAGCCGATCTTGAAAATAAGTAGGATGGTGGCGCCTGGCATCGTAGTGTTTATCTGCCAGCCAGGTGGTGTATGTGAGGGTGAGGGGGTTACGGTCCTTTACCTACTCCTGTACTTCCGGTACTAGCCCATTGAAGAACTGCTCTAGGAGGATAAGTTGGAGTAGTTCCTCCATAGTTGTGGCTTGGTTAGCCTGGACCCATCTCATGGTGGCTCTTTGAAGTCGGTAAGCCCATTCCGCGTGCAAATCTTTCTCCTGCTTCCTTAGTTCTTGGAATCAGCATCAGTATGCCTCGGGGGTAATATCGCGCTAATATAGCTTGTTGCACCCGGCTGTAGTTCTTGCTGTCTATGGCAGCTACCCGAGGAATGAGGGGTTTTGCTGCCTGAGCCGTTCTTTTCCCCCTGTTCAGAGTGATGCTTTCTGATTTCCCAGGATAGTATAGATTTTACAAGAGCTGGTGATTATAGCAGGTATAGCTGGTCCCTACAATCATGAGATAAGACTCTATGATGAGGGTGAGCAAGAACTGATTTATTGGTACACACACTGGCCTTTTATGCAATCCCCCATGCAAGGGGTGTGACAAACTCCAGTTTTTAAGGGAGTTTGCCATGAGTTTTTGGAGGGGCCTGCTTTCCAGCCTCCTACCCTGGGGCTTTGGGCCCTGTGATAACCCATGTTCAAAAGTACTGTTTCGGCCCCTTGGACTTTTAACTGGAACAGATTCAAACATGTGGCGGCGGCCATCTTAAATTGTCCAGCAGTGTTTTGCCACCAAGTGTATGGAACTGTTTTGGGCATAGGACCATGTGCACGGTGGGGCAAAAATAAGACTTCCAGGAAATTCCTGAACCCCTGAACCGATCTGGGTGATTTTTTGGATATGTTGTTCACCCAGATTGGGGCTATCGGGGGATATTTTGGGGTACTTTTTTGGGGTTTGTAAAAATGTATGTTTTTTTTTCTGTTTAGAGTTAATTGAGTTAGTCCATTGTTTTAGTTAATTGTATCACAGGCAGAGGGGAGGGACTGTGTACACTGTATGGGAGTGACTGAGCGTAATTGGATTGTTATTGGATTGTTAATTTCATGTCCTGTGCCCAACAAGGTCCACCTGGGCGGTAACCTTGTGGGGGAAACCAATAAAAAAACCTGTACCAATAAACGTTCAGCTCTACTTCACCCTCAATCTAGAGTCCTGTCTCTTATTGGGGGACAGCTACAAGGGCTACTATGCTCTTCATACTCCCTTGAATAATCACTAAGCTCCTGTAAGAGCTTGTTCCTGCTTCACTCTCAGGGGAAAGAGAGGTTCACCCACTGGAACCTGGAGCCTTGTCGGAGGTCCAGGGTGGGTAGGAGACGGCGAGACCCCAACCAAGCTGCGGTGGTTCGTGGCGTCTGCAGTGCTTATGGTGTAAAGTGGAGTGCTTGGAGCCTTCAGGAGGCACTAGGAGCATCCGTCAACGGATGTACCCAGTTGGGGTGCCAGGTGATCACATGTGGGAAGCTACAATATAAAGTCACAGACCAATGATAATGGTGTTCAAAGGCGTGACACTCCCATATGCAATCATACAATCCCTCCCTTCTGCCTGAAAGATAATTGAGACAGATACTGTACTAACTCAATTATCTCTAGGTGAAAAAGAATACAATTTACAGGTAACCCGAAAGTACCCCAAAAACACACAATCCACACAAGTTATATCCCCTGATTAGCCCCGATCTGGGGGAGCAACATATTTAAAAAACACCCAGATCAGTTCAGGGGTTTAAGAGTTTTATTGAAGCCTTGTTTCTGACCAACCTCACACG